AAAAAAAACCCTTTAAATAATCTTTCATAACCCTTCCCCCATCGTCCAACACACAGCATTGATTTTGTTGCTGTAAAAGGAAGTTTTATTAGATTGTACCTCAAGAAGGTTTTTTTGTTTCCTTTTTCTAAAAAATTTTACCAAATCGAACAGAACTTATTTCGTTTCAATGACATTTGTAGTGTTTTTGTCTTGGACCGCAAAAAATTGCGAAGTTACAGTTCTGTAAAACAAGTGACTGTTGAACTTATTTAAGGTTAAATGAAAATTTTGTCAGAAAATATAGAAATGGATGATAGAAAAGGTCAAAAAAGAGTAAAAAAGGCGAAAGGTGTAAAAAGAAGCAATAAATGAGGTAAGGAATGCTTCGGCCATTAAGTCGTATACATTTCTTACCATTACGACAGTTGGACCTCATCAGTACGACGACTGTGGTAACAAAATGTTTTTTAGTTAAGAATGAAAAGTAATTGAGATGGAAAAGAAATAATTAATGGGAAATGTATGTTACAGGTAGCGCATGGTGTATCACATGCATCGAAGCTCTACCCAAGCTCATATCTTGTGCATATTCTTGTGGGAACAGCTAAAGGCGCCGGTGCTGGTATTTTAAGAACATTTGAACAGGTTGAATTTTATCGTTTCAAAAACAATATTCTGTAGCAGCTGGCGTGCCAGTCATATCCACCCTTTTGGGGAAGGAATTTGCCTTAGAAAAAAACCAAAGAGAATGATAAGAGCATTTTGGAAACTAATACATGTGAAGGAGAACTTGTCACAGTGAATGTACCGATGAAATAATTTTTCTATGGATATGACTGTATGAGTCAGAACCTTTTCCCTGTCAACCTTGTTTAAAAGGTGGAGCTTTGACGAAGTTTGTTGGAGATCCTTGAGTTTGAGGCGAGGTTTGGCTCTGTTTTCTACAGCTGCCTTCTGAGTATTTTGGAAACTAATACATGTGAAGAAGAACTTGTCACAGTGAATGTACCGATGAAACAATTTTTCTATCGATATGACTATATGAGTCAAAACCTTTTCCCTGTCAACCTTGTTTAAAAAGGTGGAGCTTTGACGAAGTTTTTTGGAGATCCTTGAGTTTGAGGCGAAGTTCGGCTCTGTTCTCTACAGCTGGTGGTGGAATTGCTGACCGACCAAACGGGAAAAACTGTGCGGGAGACATAATGTCGAGACGAGTTGTTTATGTGGAAAACGATTAGGCGAACAAGAAAAATAATATAATAATCCCCGATAGGGGAAACTGCTTTTATTAAAGGATAAAGATGAATGATGAAGTAGAAAAGATGAAGAACGGAAGAAAACGAAGGAAAGAGCGAAATAAGAGGGGGAAAAGGGATTCGTTCCAATCTCCCCCGTCCTCGTTGCAATCTCTCCTAGCCAGCGATATTCATTGTTTGTATCTTTAAAATTTCTATATATTAAAGAATAAAGAGAAAATGATGAGGTGGAAAAAATGGAGAGGGGAAGAAAAACAAAGTGGAAAAGGGAAATTGGAATATGAAATATTTGTAATAGGCCAGAAATGTTCCGGTCCATTAAGTCGTATACATTTCTTACCGTTACCACGATTATATCGTGCATGGTGGGGCGAGCGGGTGGCACTGGCCGAATATATTTGAACGGAATGACCCACCAAGGGTCATGCACAGTAGATCACGAAAGCGCTTGACCCGCTTTGGTAGCAGGAGCTACCCATGAATGCATAAAAAGAATCAAAACTTATAAATTTGAAAAAGTCGGTAATGCTACTGTATCGAATCTAATGTTGCGAATTTGTAGGAATAAGTATATTCATATTTTGTCTTTAAAGACTGTGGGACTAGATTGATTTATGAATTGTTAAAATTTTTGATTTTAACTTATGAAAATTGCAGTTGGTGCGAGGTGTTTGGATGCCTGCTCACAACGAAGTGCTTCGGCCATCATTTTCCACAAAAGGATGTTTCATAGCATCCGTGATACTGGTGCTGGACAAGCATTCACACTACATCTCTGCTCCTCATGAAATCGTTTATTTGGTGTGTTTTTTCAGTTTTCGAAACTCTTAAGATGTTTTAATGTCCCAACGACTGAGAGGAAAATCTTTGTATCGGATACATCGGAAATTCTGGGTTTATTCCTCTTTAATCGTTATGCTTGTCAATTTCTAGTTTAGTTTAACAAAATTTATGGACGTGCGGGTTTTTCTTTTTATGCGTTTTGTGCTGTGTAACAGCAGTACAAAACGTATAGTTTAACGGGGTTGTCTGTGTGTGTGTTTGTGTGTGTGTATGTGTCCGCAGCAACTTGTCCGCAACTTTCAACTCGGGAACCACAAAAGCTAGG